CAAGATTATGTGGTGAGCTTTTATTTCATAGATATTCACTAAAATCTATTGATCTCCCAATTCCTTGGTTTCTAGACAATGTTTTCAGTCCAGTTGCGGTAGACACAACTTATACAGGATGAGTGGGCACAGACGATTAACTTCCTCTCCAAAACAATAGGTGACAATGACCATCTGTCAAGTCTGCCATTCAATAGAGATTTGTCTTTTAGCATCACATAGCTAAATCAGAAATAAGCCAGTGATTTTTTGAATCATCTGAGATTTTATTATGCTACATACACATATGTAGCATAATACACACGTACACGTGTGTGTATATATATACACATTTTTGCCTCAATCTGTTTTCAGACATCATGTCATTTGTCTTTTGATATGGACAATATATGGTCTGTATTGTCTCAAATCAGATTTTCCAGTGTTCTGTAATGTGTTATAGAGGGAATACATCTAGAGCTAGAGAACAAAATCTAATGCAGAACATTCTGCTATATGTGGCCTGTATGTTTTTGACCATGGGGCAAAGCATATACAACGGCTTATTTATAAATCAACAGATTATCTAGTTGCCTCTTCCTCAAATAGAAGAGGACAGCAGGTATATGACAAGCTTATGTGTGCATATTAGAAAGAAACTCTCTTGTTGGCCATCTGATTAGCTGCTGATTTTTAATTCCTAAGTCTGTGGCTGGAGCTAGGAGGGAATCATGGCTCCCCAGTTCCATCTCTGGTAGGCTTCAAAGGACGCACTGAGCGCAGTGATGCTCAGACATAACTCTGACAATGGCATGTGGGTGGCAGGGGCACATCCCATGCTCCAGAAGTGGCTGTTCCAACAGGCTTGCCCAGAGGGGGACAATGGGACATTCCTCTGGAACATGCTCCTGAGGGCAGCATTTGCTTACTCCACACAATGTACTTGTAGCCCATGGTTATGACGTGACTTTGTTCTGATATGGGGAGGAGGATATTGTGACAGCTGCAGTGCTGCTTTATAATAAAGTTATGACTGCTGAGAACACTGAATATTATGAACGCTGTATGTGACCTAGTAAGTGAAGGGAAATTACTGTGTGTTAGGTTATTAGATTTTCCTGTATGGATATATTGATTTAACAGTGAAGAGGGGGTACTAGGAAGAGCGAACAGGAAAGCAACACACAAGATCTGGGTGAGGACACTAGCACATTACATACTTAAAAAAACCAACAACTGATAAATCCATTAACTTCAAGAACACTGTCTGGTCTCTAATAAAGTATCAACCCTTTTTTTGAAAGCGCGGAGCTCAAAAGACCACTAGAGAGTCTAAAAGCCCAACTCAAGGGGTATGTGTTAGGTTAGCAATTGTCTAGGGAGACAGGCAGGCTCAGGTTGGGAGCATCTTTGCTGAGGGAATCTAAAGACATAGAGAGCCTTCCTGGTTTCAAAGAACAGCCAGCCTCTGGGGAAGAAAGTGAGAATGGTATGGTTTCTTATTTTTAAAGCAAGTTTTTTTTCTGGATTCTTTTGTTCTAAATAAAAAAAAATACTTGGCTCACTGTGGGCCGTTTGGTCTCTACTACCATCATTGCTCCCTGAGGAAATGGCACTACTGAATTTGAGCTTAAATCAGACCTAATGAGATAATCATGATTACTACCAGGGAGGCTGCCCTCTGACACCCAGACTGAGCACAGGAGACTCTTGATTCCACCTTGAGCCGGGTGATGGCAGTAACCTGAGATCTACAGCAAGATGCACTCTGAGAAATCAGGACTGGTCAGAGGTGCAGATTACTTGTTAACTGAAGGCTGTAAGGTCCTTCCTGCATAGCTATGGATGTCAGTAGACACAAAATACAAAGGACGAGAAGTCTGTGAACAGCTGAGCATGAGAAATAAAGATGATTCCAAACATACGTGTTGAAAACCAGGTGCATATTAAAGAAATGTTGTCTATGTCAGATCTTCAGCTGTTGTAAACCAGTGTAGTTCCACCGTTATCTATAGTCCACCATTATAGACTATAATGTTTTTGGCAATTGAAGATTTGGCATATGGCCCCTACCCCAATCTCAAATTTGATTACATACTAAAGGACTGTATTTTATTTCACTGTTAATGAAGTTTTACTGCTAGGTATCACATCCCAAAACAGTTCATTCTGGGTTGGCTAGAGGGAGGATTCCCTTTAATCATGTATTGACACTACTGCATCTGAACAGCTGGGAAGTAGTATGTGGTCCATCCAGTAACTGAAATGTCTACATTCTCTTCTTGCCTTTGCCATGTTCCTTTTTTCAATCTTTAGCAAGCGGTTTTACTGTTCAGAGGCTTAGTTTCCTGATTTTTAATATGGTGATAGTGGTATTTACTCACTATAAATGTACTAAGTATTATTATTATTATAGACCACACAAGTCCTAGTTTTATACTGGACTAAGGTAATATTCAAGGAGTATGCCTAATGGGACAAATTCTGCTATAGGTTGTTTTCTGTGCATCCCTACTTACTGCTCTAAGGCTACTGAGGTATAAGCCAGGCCAGAATTGGTTCCACAAGTCCAGTGGGAAACTGCTAATTGGTTAAGTTTGCTCTGGTGCCTGGGTACCAGTTGACAAATGCAATAATAGAGTCATAACCATTTTCTGAGAATGATTTGAGATTTAAAGGTTCCCAGCAATACTTAAATAGGATATGAGCAAATGGTTCAAAGCCAAATTCATTCCTAGTTCAATTCCAATAAAGCCAGTAGAATTACAGTAGGGATGATTTTGGTCCCATTTAATATGTCAGAGGTCAGTCTCTCAATACGTCTAACCATAAGCTCCTTTTTAAAGTAAACTACTCTTTTTGGACTTAAATTTGGACCTGCCAAATGCTGCAGCTAATGAGCTCTTCTTAACTAAAATATTGTGCAGAGTGTGTGTAAATGCTGCAGTATCCAAACAAGAATTTAGAGAAAATTAAGAGATCCAGTCCACTGCTGTCAAGGGTAACTATTTGCTTAACATTTTATTCTGTATTTTATGATTCTTCTGCAAATAATTTATATGATTTAATTGGCTGGTTATTTTTAAATCTTTAGGGACCACTGCCAGAGTGGTACACATTTTTCAGAAATGTTATTAAATTTGCCAGCTGCAATTTATATTCTGTATCTCTGCTCTTCCCTAAGGAGTATAAATGTTGTATTCCTTTACTTTTGCTTGAGAGTTGCAGTATTATGTTCCAATTTCAGAGTGATAGAAAAAGATGGCTGCAGAAATGAAATGTAACCATCATTCCAATCAGGAAATCAATTTAATATTTTGAGAATTATTTTTGAAGCCATGGAAGTGGTACCTTTTTGTACATCAAACTTAAGAAATTTCCTTCCATGTCAATAAACTACCCATCTCCCTAGCTGGACTCATACTCTGATATGGCATATTTTAGTACAAGTCACATTTCTAAGCTGTTACTGGTAAGACCTTTGACTTTCTACATTGTTTTGAAACATTTGTGGCGTTTTGTATTAGGAACCTGGCTACTGAAGACAAGATTCAAGCATCAAATCTGAGACTGTGAAGGAGCACAGAAAACAAAGGGAGTGTACTGGAGAAAAAGGGAGTGCCCCTTCCAGCCCTGCTATACTATGATTTTATGAAGGCTCCAGCTGTTGCCAACATTGGTTTTTTGAGTTATACAAGTCAAACCACAGAAACATATTGCTTCCCTATGGACAACGAACTGGAAAGGTGCTGGTTGAGACATTAATCATCTGGATAGGGGAATAAACAGTGGGTTGACATTCTTTTCAAACTATATAGCTAGTTTATTGATAGTCTTGAGTTAATGGACTACTGCAGTCAAAACACATTTTACAATGACTATGGAGTGGGTGGGGGAATCATAATGATACCATCATTAGATAAATCAATGGTGCCGCTTCATTTAGAGTACTACATGCAGGATTGTTCACTTCATCTCCAAAAGGATATTGAGAATTAGACAAGGTTCAGAGAAGGATAAAAATGATTAGGGACCTGAAAAAACTCTCATAGAGAGAGATGGAGAAGACCCTGTTTTCTGCAGAAAGGAGATGAATAAGAGAAGACATGTATATAAAATAATGAATGATGTAGGGAAGGTAATTTGGGAGTTTCTACTCTCTGTGATTCATAATACTAGAATCAAGCATAATAAATAGGTGCGTTGTATAAAACACGTGGTAGCAAATTCTAAGACGATAAAAGATTTTACTGATCAGAGCCTACTTCCTCATCACCATTTCGGATTCTGATTTACTATTATCTTGGAGTGCTGCTAACATGTTTATCAGCCTTGCCAATTGCTGATAAGATAAAAGCATTAGATTTAATACAGAATGCACAGATAACGGCAGCCTGAGAGAACACTTGAGCTTCTTACACTTTTTGCCAGGTGTGCTAGTATTCTGAATTAAGCAGACTGGATTCATTAAACATGAAGGATTCTTGTCAGTGACTGCCTCTTACCAGCAGCCCAAATCTAACACAGTAAGAGGTGGACCAGCTAGTGAGAATTAAAAAGGCCACAGACATGGAAGAGTCTGCAAAGTGAGACACTCCATCCCAACCTAATCCCCAAAGCCACGTTGTGAAAGATATAATAAACGTTCCTGATCAGGAAAACACTTAACTGCTTAAAGGTAACTCAGGAAGAAGGGTTACATGTCAGTCCTTCTGCAGTATCAATGATTTCGCAAGACAGTACAGCCCCTCCCTCTCTCCGCAAAATGCCTTGAGACTGTTCTTTTCAGTAGTGGGTAATCCATAAGAATGAAATAGAGCCAAGTATGGGGAATTATACAGAAGCACAGGTGAAATCTAGAGCCTTTAGTCTTTCCTCAGACTATGGGATGACTTTTCATGTATACAACACTGTAAACAGACTGACCCCAAATCTTCATAGAGCAAAGATGGAAGCTGTATCTTGTACTGTCTTCCACCTCTTTTTCCTCAGAAAATATTAGAAAAATGTTTGCCTCTTACCTTGTTAGCTTTGTTCCAATCTGCTGCCTCAGTTCGAGTCTTTCCTCATCAGTCTGCATTGGGAGGATGTTCTTCTCCTCCAGTTCTCTTTTGGAGGGCCTGTTACTAAGTTTGATTGCTAAGGAATCCTTCCTGCAGACTTTCATTGCCAGAGAACCTATGGAGGGAAAGACAGACTTTAACAAAGGAGATGTCACTGTCTTATACACTAGCATAAAGATAAATAATCAGGAAAACAAGAGCACAAAAACATAAATTAGGCCTTCAGGTACATAAGTGTGCATCTGTTTTAGTGGTGTCACTGTTTGGGCCAATGGGCTACAGAGGTTAAGATACAGATAAGACTCAAGTCTGGCCTCTTTAACTCCTCCCAAGTCATCTTGAATAGGTTGTGCCAAACTAAGAGTACCTGAGATTGAGGCAATGAAGAGACATCACATTTGTCCCAGAAGAAATAATTTTGTCCCAGAAAAAAGTGCGGTCATTCAGATGTCCACATCCATTGTCCCCAGGATAAACCCTACAAAGGTCTGTGGGATAAGAAGTGTTGACAGTTTGTCCCAAGACATCAGAAAGTATGTCTGAATGGTTTTCCTGGGATAATGTTATTGAATTATTTCCTGGGATTGCGTTATAGCACAAAGCCACCATGCATTCAGCTGCCTGCTAAACCCTGATTTGAAGAGTGATGCGAGTACATGTCAACCCTGAAACTTCTCTGTTTCAGGACAAACACAGACACAATTGGCCCTGGGACAAATGCAATATATGTTCTTAGTTTGAAAGTCTCACGCACAACATGGGCTGGATTCTGCTAGGAGAAAAGAGGGTGATTCTGTTTTGTACCTGTAAAGTAAATATGCATGCCAGTTATTAGTTGTTTTAAAATCATCTTTTTCTGAAAGACTTTGAACTACTGAAAATAAAAATGATTCATTTGCAAAAGGCTATTATAGTCAATATCACTGCCTGCAGGTTCTAGGACAGAAGAAACACAGGGCAGCTGAAACCCTGGATGAACTTGTAGGGTGAGAAGTGGTACATGACATTTATTAAACATGAAGGATTCTTGTCAGTACTTCTGGTCCACTTCTGGGTCCACCGGGGAGCATGCTGGGGGCCCCCCAATGTCCCCCCAGCTCAGTGATCAGGCATGGGGAGACCCTGAGTGCCCCTCCCCAGACCCAGGAGGCACCAATCGCTGAGCCAGGGGGTGTTGGGGAGGAGCATGTAGCAAATTCAGAAAAGTGCAGAAGTGTTTCTGGTTTCTAACTGCACTAGCAAGTCTCAAATTTAACTCATGTTATTATTAGTGGGTCTGATTCTCCATAACCTTGCACTACCTGGGACAGGTGAAGGAGCAAAATGATACCCAATAAAGGAACAGTGTTTTATGTACACCGTGCTGATATTAATATTTTCACCAAGTGCAGGGCAGTGGCAAATCAGGTCCCTATTGTAAGCAGGAATTTCACTCTGGGAGCATCTATACATTCATTAATGCACCTTAGTTACTGCACTTGCCTAATGAAGTACTAAATACACAGTAACTAGAGTTACTGCTCAGTAGCGCCAGTGCATGGTTATTTTGTGACGCTTACTACGCAATAGCTAAATCACAGTGTGCAGTGGCTATTAGCATGGTTTTTGACTGGCACGCCACTGTGCAGTGCTATTAGGCTAAGCATCTCATGTAGACACACCCTCTGTGTAATAGCTTAGGCTTTTGTAATCTCTTTCTGAACTTTAGTACGTTGGTGTAAGTCAGGAATAACTCCACAGGTGTCACTGGGATCACATTGGGTATAACACTGGAAAAGAGCCACAAATCAGGCTTCTGCTTTTGAAGTCAGTGCTTCCAGGACTAAATAATTAAAAACAAATATGAACACAGCACACAAAGGCTAAATGCAGCCCACCTTGTCAAATCTGTATTCTTAATGAGTGCAGGAAGTCAAGTAAATAGAACTGGCCCCATGGTCACAAACAGAACTGTGTACCTGTATTATTGTGATCTCAGTGCACATGCTTCTCCTACATGTATGATTCATGCCAGACAAGATAGCCATGCTATTCAGCCCCGTATATAATTAGCTATAATTTCAGAGCCAAAATCTAAGTCCTTCCTCATTTTTATTCAATTCTTACTTCGACAAAAATCCCAGAGCTAAATCCTGAAGCCTTTTCTCAGGCAAATACACGCTGACTTGAATAAGAGTTTACCTAAGGGTACGGCTGTCTGAACACTTTACTGCAGGGTAAGCTAGGCTGTGAACTTACGGTGCATTACAGACACTGTAGTAATTACCCAT